GAAAAAAACATTTTTGTAGCTTTTTCGACATCAACTTCTGCTTAATCTGACTGCTTATATTTCTGTAAGTATTTTAATTACATATACTCAAAAGTTAATATCAATTAAACTTACATATTTTAAAAGCTCATTCCAAAAATATTTATGGAAAAAAGACAACAAAGTTTCGACTTCAACTCGACCTTAAAGCCGTGCCCGAAAAGCTCTTCAATTGGACAGTCTATGCTTCAAAGAAAAAACACAACTTAAAGAGCTAATTAGGCTAAAAGCTCTATTGTAAATGTAAATAGGCCAAAAATAATTTTAAATATTCGCCTGGCCGTAGGCAAGCTGCAATAAAAATAATTATTTTTCAGCAACTGTTTTGAGTGGCTTTTGACTCTATTGACGAAAATTCCAATTTATTATTTTAAAAAAATATATCAATTTATAGATAACTTGCAGCAGTGCCTGTTTTTTTTTTATAGTGAAACAGCTGAACTGCGCACAATGTGAGCAATCAAATTATCTGGCACAAAATAATGTCAACGAACACAACTCATAAAGCGAACATCAATTTGCCAGAGCGGGCCACGATATGGGCGCATAAATTTTATGCACTTCGACACCACAAAACGGTAATGATAATGCCGTGTCGCGCCATAAAAGTCAAATCCTACATAACAGCACAAAACATCGCCCCTTCTCGGGCAGGTGGTGAAAAGGTGCGCAGCAAATGTAGCTAAACAAAAATTGCGAGAAAGGCTCAAAAGCTTCGGCTTGAGAATGTAGCTATGCATTTTGACAATTGCCAGCGAAATGGTTCAACTAAGCTTTTTTTAAAATACCCAGTACTGAGCGTGGCTAGGGGTATGATATGTTGAAAGGAAAATTCGAATTTGAGTTTAAATCAAATTTTTTTATAAATATTAATATTATTTACGACATCAAATAGGTTTTAATATATGGATGGGAAAAGATTGATTTCTATATTTAAATATTTTGAAAAATTTTTTTTTTTTAATTTTTTCATTATTTTTCTGAAATATATTTATATGATATATCAAATAATATGATTTGTAGAAATCATTGTTTAATTTTTTTTATTTTTTTTTTATTTTTTATTTGATATACTAATATGCGATTTTATCTCATTTATTTTTTAATTAAACTAAAAAAGAATAATAATATTATTTCATGAAAAAAAAAATATAAATCAAATTAAATAAAAAAATTATATATTTATTTTTAACTATTATATTAAGTAACAAAATATGTATTTCAACTTTGTTTAATATCATAATATATAATATCCCGGAAATTTATTATTGATTTTTTTATTATTATTTATTTATATATTTATTATTTAATGTTTAAGCTATTGATTATAAAATATATATACAAATCTCTACACATATTTATATCTAAGAAGGGTAGTTATATCCCTTCAACTTTCAACTCTAGGGTATCTTCTAGTCCATCACCTTGCCCGAAAGCTCTCTTTATAGTTGCCCAGCTGTTGTTGTCGCTGTTATTGTAGCTTTGGCTGGCATTAGTTTCATAAGGACGCCGCTTATGGTGCTGACTGTGGCGACAACACCAGCAACAACAACAAGAACAAAAAGAAGAAGAAGAAGAAGAAGATAGCATTATTGAGTGTAGTTGTCGCTGCAACGGCTGACTGCCTGACTGGCTGTGTGGCTGTCGCTTGATGTGTTTGGCTCAGTTGTTGCCAACGTTCGGCACACGCGACACGTGCGAGGTGCGTGCAAAGTTGAATTGTCAGCGGCAAAAGTTGAAACATTTTGGGAACAATAAAATAACAAAAAAGAAAAGTAACCAGCTGCCAAATACACTCACCCACACACGCACACACTCCTGACAAACAAAGGTAAAATGTGTGCCAAGAAATAATCGACATGTCTGTTAATTATTGTGAAAGTTTTTCTGACACACACGCGGATACAAATTGTCAGCCCTTGGCGTTTCTATGTCAGATGACAGCTGCTGCTGCTGCTGCTGCTGTTGGTGTTGTTGTTGGTGACAGGCACCGCCCTATCGAATGCTTGAGCTGCTGCAACCGCTGTCGCATGCTGTCTCCGCGTGTATCTATATCTATATCTGTGTAACTGTATCTCCAGCTCCAGCTCCATCTCCATCGCCATCGCCATCTATAACTGTAACTGTGTGTGTGGCACACATAAAGTTATTCGCCCGTATGGGGAATGTGTTTCATGTCATAAAGACACGCACAAATCATGCTTAAACTCGACCAAGCTACGCTGTGCCTCGCGCCTTGTGCCTTGTCTGGCGTATCCTGTGTGTCCTGGTGCTCGTTGCTTTTTGCTTAACTCGCAATTTATGGTTAATCGATGTTGTCTTTGAACGTGACCTATTTGCTTTATTTCGTCGCGCAGTATCCTTTGTCGTCATGTCCACGTCCACGTTCACGTCCATGTCACCATTATATCCGTGGCTCGTCTCACATTCTCTCTTAACCAGCCGCCTCCTCCCCCACTCCAGTCGCACTCAGCGTCCTGCTGACGTGTTAAATTGTCTTTTTGTTTACCCTCAATAAAGCAATAATTTATTTTTCATGCTCTGCTGTGCGTTTTCCTTCGTCACACTTATTGCATGGACCCAACATATATACAGATATTTATATATATATATATCTAGCAGATTTGCCAAAATCGATATGTGAATAACCTTGACTTTCAGGCCAGAGCTTTGCCGGCGACTCAGTGACTCACAGATGCTGCAGCTGCACTTTGTTGCCAGCCACATTTGCTGTCTGCAACCCCAAAAAGCTTTACAGTTTTGCAGTCACTGCTAAGCATGACGCATCAGCATAAACTGAAGTGCCACCTGGGTGTTTTAATTAGTGGCATTGTGCCATGCTTATCGCAGCAGCAGTCGTGACAGCGTTTGACTATCTAACTGGGTCATCAAACCCGTTGCGGACAACCATTTGCCAGGAGGTGACGCGGCCAATGAGCTCATTAGTCTATCGATTTAATATTTGGCATCAATAACTCGCTTAGCTCTTCCTTTTTTACATCAATGCTGATGACTTGCAATCAAAAGTTCAAATTGTTCAATGAAGCTTAAGCAATATTTCAAATGTGTATTTAACATGCATGTTAAGTGCATTGTACGTGCTGCTTGTTAATTGTTATTAATACTTATTAGTTTACTGATTTAATATTCTGCTTGGCGTTACGCTTAGCTTGAGGCTTGATTAAATTCTATAAATAACTTCATAGCTAATTTAACATGCATGTTAAGCTGACAAGAAGTTTTGCTTTATTAAGCATAACGGTAATACAACTGTTATAATATGCTCGACTGTTACAGGAGAGATAGACGGCTCTAAGTATAAACAGCATTGTTTGAATGGGCAATTATCGACTAGGAAATACCCAGACTTTTTTATTTATATAAGCAAAAAATATTTATTGTAGAGTTATGGATGACTTGAAACCGGCTCGATATGCTTTAAATTATTCATAGTAGGTATAAAGTTAGAGAGGCACTGAGAGGCACTGAGGTCTACATCAGCTCGACTGTATAGGGCCACTCACGCCTCCCTCTAGCTAACCACAGGCACTTTGATATAAGTAAGCCAATTTTCAATGTGTACAGAGTGTAGATATGCCTGTGTCTTGCCCTTCGCACAGTCCCCCTTTATTTGGTACTTAATAATATGGCTTGCACAGGTAATTCCCATAAACAGACAAAGTTGCGTGTCTATATTTTTTATTTGATTGCAGCCCAATCAATGAGAAAGGCAAGCAAAGCTCAGTCCTGTCATAGAAATTACAATGAGTTGTCCTACCTAACGCCTCCTGCTGATTTCCGTCTTCTGAGTGCGGCGCTTCAGCTTAAGTCTTAGAGAGTAGCTCAGTCAAGCCTGGTCATTTATTTGAGCTGGGAAATATTTTGTATATTTTTCTTAAATTAATTTTCTGACTTCATCAATTCACTAAAGAGTTGCCAGCTAATTGCTACGTTGGGGGCAGTAACACTTCCAGTTGTAGCATATGCGTGTGCCGATGTCTCGCAATTGTCATTGTGATGTCATGCATGAAATATTGAGGTGAATGGGGACACACACACAGGCACAGCCACACACGTGAGCAACGACTGCAACACTAATCAACCAGTTAAGGTTCAAGCAGTTCCGGTTCAATGAGCAAAGTGGCTATCCTATTGATAGGTGTGTGCCTGCAGCAAATATTATAGCAAATAGTATAAAGCTGAAAGAACAGCTGCGAGTGTTGCCCGGCGTTGCGCGTGCCTAGCTGCAAATGGAAGACAGTTGCAGTTGCAAATGAGCTCTGGCTATATAAATAGACTTAATCTCTCCGTCAATCAGCTTATTAGACAATCAGTCAGTCAACAATTGAGTCAAGTTAAGTAATGAATTATTTTGCTGTCTGCAATGACATCGTCTCTTGCCTATCGGGATGACCTTAAGCAGCAACCCGTTCGACCTATGCGTACTTGAATGTGGGCACAATTAAGATAATGGCACACCTTACGTTACCTTATAAGTCGGATCCGAATAAGTCAACTGTGCGCAATGAAGCGTTAAGGGCATCGCCATTCAAACACACGGAGATTCGTGTTTGGGCATCTTTGCTGCTGAATGTAAACAGCCGTCGCCCCCAACTCTTGCTCTAATTAAGCTGAATTCTTAACCATAATAGCTGCCGGCTATGGTTGTCATAATAGAAATAATTATGCGAGGTAAATTACCCAAAGTATTAAGTGTAGCTCGGATGTCCGCGGGCCAAATATCGACTTAATTTACACAGAAATAAAAACAGAAAGAAAGAAAAAACATTTTAATTATGTTGAAAGTAGATGAAAAACAATTCCTGTTTGCAGATTCGTCTAATAAAATAAATATATACATAGTACATTATGAAAATTATGCGAAATTTCAATTTCGAATTTATGAAATAAAAAAATCTTTTTTGTTGTAATCAAGTTGGCATCGGAGCTGAACTCGTGCGCGGAGCTTTACGCTTAGTCAGTTGAAAATATTCGTTTGTGTTGCTTGTTATTTTATAAAAAAACCTCAAATAATTTAAATAATCCAAATTCACAAATATATCGAATTACACTATATTTTGTATATATCCCGAATACCGATAAAACTCTGCAATGGTTAAAGAGGTAATGCTGCGCTTAATAACTCTATTATTTTAAATTTATTTGCGTTCGCGTGGCAGATGCAGCGAGAGGACCTATTCTCCAAGGAGGCGGCGCTGAAGAACCAGGCAAAGCGGGAGCTGGCCAATGGGCTCGAGAAGCCGTCGTTAGACAAATTGCGACTGCAGTGCTTCAGCCGCGGCGCCACGGGCATCTTGGGACTTGCCAGGTGAGTGCCTAAGCAGACGCCCCGAAATCCGGCATGTGTGCATAGCCAGGGCCAAAACAACGACCGGGTCGAAGGGCCTGAGCCAGGACCAGCACCAGGTTGCCCAAGATAACGCTCTTTACTTCATTTTTTCGTTACGGGCATATTTATTAACAAATGTGAGGCAGCTTGCGAACGGGGCTGGGCGTATTAAAAATGATGAAATTGTTGAGTGCCCGACAAGTGAAACATGTAGAATAGGGAGCTGCTGCCCAAATGTGAAGCATGTTTTTTATGCCCCAAGCAAGATGATGCCGATGATGATGATGATGATGATGATGATGATGATGATGAGCAGCATTGAGTTTGTGATGTGTTGTTGGTGGGCCGCAGTTGAGGTTAGGGGATTCGAGCTAGGCACTAGCAAATATGTCGAGTGCATGTTGAACTAACATTTCGAAAGCTTCTCCAAGTGTGTGCCAAGCGGCAAAAACTATGGATGAAGCAGCCGCAGCCGCAGCCTCTGCCGCAGCCTCTGCCGCAGCATCTGCCGCTGCCGCTGCCGCTGCCGCTGCCGCTGATGCTGATGCTGATGTTGGGGCTGAGCGATGGCAAAAATCGCTGACTGAATGCAAACAAACATAATTGGATTTCTCTGCTTTCAGTACCATTCAACACTCTTTCACACACACACAGACAGTCATGTGAGCCACCCGAACGCACTCACGCCCATAACCTGGCCGGGCAAACAGAAGAGTTTGCTCCTCGACTCTCGGTTTTTATTTCAATTTCCGACTGGCAGCAGGTCCGTTAACAATTTTCCGTATTGAACATATAGACATTTTTAACAAAATCGCAACTTCAATATGAGTGAGAGTGCGTCTCCCTCTGTGTGTGTGTGTGTGTGTGTGTGTGTATTAGCTGAATCATTGTATATCTGCCTATTGACCATCTCTGTGTGTGTGTGTGTGTGTGAATGCATGAGATTTTTTATTTGTATTTATGCAACTTGTTTGTCAGCTGGAAAATTCAATGCATTCAATGCATTTTCTAAAAAATTCTACGCATTCGACTCCGCATTCTTGCCCTCTGCTTTTGTTTGTCACTATTTTCATTTTGCGATTTAAATTTATTTAAAATAACAATTTTGTTTGGACTAGGCATCGGCTTTTTAACTGCAGTTGGAACAAAATTCTTTGTATATATTCAGATTTATTCCCTCTTCTTCTTCCGTCTCAGAGCTTTTCGTGTTATGGATGACGACGGCAGCAAGACCCTCAATCTGGAGGAATTCAAGAAGGGCATCAACGGTTTGGGGCTCGATTTCAATGAATCCGACACTGAGGATTTGTTCAAAAGGCAAGTTCACCTCCATATCAATACTCTTCTGCCTACTCACAATTAATTCTTAAGCAGTTTTGACACCGATGAAAGTGGCACCATTAACATGACCGAATTTCTCATGAAATTGCGCGTAAGTCTTGCATAATTATCGAAAGTTTTATTAACTAAAACTGGTGATCTCTTTTCACACAGCCTCCAATGGGCACATGCCGCCTGAATATCATCGAAAAGGCCTTCAATAAGCTGGACACCAATGCCGATGGCCAAGTCACCATTGACGATCTGAAGCACATTTATTCGGTGCAAGACCATCCCAAGTATTTGAGCGGCGAACTGACCGAAGCTGACATCTTGACTGGTTTCCTGAAAAACTTCGAAGCTGGTGCACCCAACCCAGACGGCATCATAACCAAGGAGGAGTTCATCAACTACTACGCCACCATCAGCGCCTCGATCGACAATGATGCCTACTTCGATTTGGTAGTGCGACGCGCCTACAAACTCTAATCTTCTTTCATTGATCGTAGCACTCGTACGTATGGACACGCAGTCAGAGTCCATATGATTCCGACCGTAAGCTAGTTAGCACTTACTATATTCCATATATAAGCTCTAGTTATGCACGCTAAAAGTAAATGCAAAAAAATTTCAGTTGACTAGTTATCGGCTCTGCGCACGTCTCGTAAATCCTCTTATTCGTACCTAACGTTTTCTTTTAATTAACTGGCAAAATTATAAAAATCAAATAAAACAAAATAAATCTAAATAAAATCTATTTTGGTGGCTTGAAATATTTTTCATGCACTTTCCGAATGGCCAGGTGATCTTGAATGGGAATTGTTAATTGTAAATGTATCTGTGCTCAAAATATAAATTTTCTCAGTCTGCCCTTTTCTATTGTTTTTTTTACCGAAGTCATAACGACACGAACAGCCATCTCGCTCGTACTCTGTTTTCACCCAAGACTACGTTCAGCATCAGCTATCTTTATCTCGCTCTCACTGAGTAGAGAATATAAACAAGTAGAGGTTATAAGTGTGCAGCTAAGGCGCAAACTCACTCGGATAATTATTTGACACTATAAGCTCTCAGCCTCACACTAAACTGCAATATCCGAGTCTACAGCTATCTCTGAAGTAAGATCTGGAGGAGAAACTAAAGGGAATAAGTAATGAACAACGTACAGCCAAGACGCAAACCCACTCGGATAATGCAATCACGCAGACTCTCACTAATACTAATGCAACATGTATATTTGTTTCTCTCATTTTCACAAAGTGAGAATAAGAAGATACAAGCAAGAATGGAGAAACGTGCAGGCGTAAACTCACTCGGATAATACTAATACAGCGAGTATGCAATCACGCAACCTCTTACTAATACTACTGCAACAGTAGACAGCAATCACAATACGACTTTAACATTCAGTTTACAACATCACAACATAATATACCTAAATTACATAAGACAAATTTCCTCTTTTACATCAACTATTTCATTATCTACTCTCCACTCAGATTCCCTAGACAATTGACTTAGCTTTGACATATCCGATATATAAACCCTTTCCATTTGACCTAAAACTAACACAAAAGCGGTTCAAATTGGCTAAAGTTCGTGTTCGTATGCGAGTTGCGTAGTTGATTTCCTAGTTTCACGTACTTTTGTCCAATATAATGTGCTATAATAATTTATTAAATTAAAACCGCGTGCTAATTAGCATAAAACTAATTAGATTACTTGTACATGTGCAGCCACAAAGAGAGAGAGAGAAAATATTAGGTATGAATAGAGACATGAATGTGGAGCTAAATATTTGTGGCGTATGCGCAATCGTTGCCTTTCGTAAAATTCATGTTTGCCAAAAAGTCAAACGACCCACATTCACGCGCACACACACTAGACCAATACCACACACGTGGAAACAAATAAGCCTGATTAGCTGATGTTTTGTATACCCATGATGCCGTTTAACGTTGAGTTTGATGGCGAGCTTTGCTTTGAGCCTATATTTATGTGGATGCCCTCAACGGACACGTGATACAGGGTATCTAGCAGCCTGCTACATTGTAAAATTTCATGTATATTTTTCTAGAGCGGGTGATTGCGCTAGCAGCATATAATGATATCATCGACACCTTTGCCCTTTGGCATACGACGGCTGTGGCGCGTCTTTAGACACCGCTAATTAGAAGCTTATTAGAAGAGGGGCAATTGGCAAAAGTCTAATTACATTCATTTCGCACCAATGATAACAATGCGGCTTGCCCAGCATTTAATGTGCAGTACAATGCCAAGCTGTGTGGCATACGCTTGTTAGCTAGACAAACATCGAGGCCAACAGCAAATGCTGGCATATATAGCCTAGCCGGGAGTCGAGCGATATCCGGATGATGCTCACTCGCGCCTGGGGCCATTGATTATGCAGCAAAGTTTTAGTATGCCAAGTAGACAATGTTAAAAGTTTGCTCAAGTAATTAAATCACTTCGATCTTGGCTAATTACAAGCGGCGAACATACAGCTAACAACATGTAGGCTAAAGGCTCTCCCTCTGTCTGGCTGTGTGTGTGTTGCTCGTTAGATATAGCCTGGCAGCGGCAACATCCTCATCAGAACAACAAGAGCGCAACAACAAGACCGTTGACAAGTTACCTGCCAAATTAATGCAAACATGAAACGTGCGGCAACCGGGAATATTAATTAACTAACAAACACACACACGGGCACACATACACACATAACATACATTTGGCGTGGTGAGTGCAACTCGTTCGTGTCCCTTTCCCTGCTCAGTTGGCACTTGTCTTTGTCAGCACTTTGTCAGAGCGACAGAAGCGGATGGAGAGTAGAATACGAGTCGAGATCTAGCATAACTTTTCCAAAGAAATGCCCGCTAGTCGCCACGCAAACACGTTGACTTTAAGACGTACAACGCGGCGTATGAGCAATTTGTTGCGCATACGGCGACATAGCAGCCGCCTGTTGTTGTTGTAGTTGTTGTAATTGCTGCTGTCAAGTGGCATATGATTAATGAACGTTTCATTAGCGCAACTCACATTACAAATTTGTCTGTGTGTGTGTGAGACTGCAACTCAACTTGGGGCATGTTCTATTTGCATTTCAGCAGGTTGCCGAACGTGATCACAATATTATCTCTTCATCAGACCGTGCAGGACACGAACTAGCGCAGAAAGAGGGAGATAGACAGAGAGAGAGAGAGTAAAAAAGGAGCGACAGCTGCGTCCCTATTGGCCTAGCCTAGCCTAACCTAGCCCAGCCCAGCCCAGCCCCTGCTGCTCGGCAAAGTTAGCTGGCATAGATTCCATTTAGCTACGCTGCCAGAGGGCGGGCAGGGCACTGGGGCCCTGGCAACGAGTTACAATGATTTTCGTGCTAATTAAAACGGTTTTTGCATACAGTTTACCGCATTAGTATTTCGTTTAGCAGTTGTACAAACACCTTGGCGTTGTCTGAGCACGGGCAGCAATAGCATCCCAGTGGAATGTTTGCTTACGGCAGCCAGCAGCCAAGCACACACATACACTTAGGCAGTCGGCTTGTGTGTGTGTGCAGCATAAATTACGCATACGCAGCATAGCCGAGCGCCCACCGAAACACAAAAAGCCTTAGCTGGAAAGTATATTTTTCAACTGACGCAGCTGCGCCTAATGAACTCCCATTGCGGGCAACCACTGGCCCCGCTGTCACCCATCCATATCCATCTCCATCTCCATCTCCATCGCCATCGCCATCTCAAACTCTATCTCCATCTCCATCTCCATCTACATAAACATATCCATATCAGCATAGCCACGCCCCAAATGCCACATAGCTCTATCTGTTTTTTGCGGCCAGCTGCTGTGAGTGCGCAACTTGTCAGTGAGTCGACTTAATTAGCTGTTTGATATTTTGACAGCTGAGCGTAGTAAAATTGAGCTCGTTAGTGGCTTCGCCATTATATATACTAGGTGGAATTTATCAACTGAACATGTGGCTGCAGCCCTGACTGATTATTGCTCAATTAACAAACTTCTAGTGCTAGTTAACGCCCGCCACTTGTTCCTCTATATTCAACTTAGCTGAAACGAAGTTAACTAATTTTATATGCATTTATAATTGGCAATTTAGTTAACGTTGCTTTGTTATATACCAAATTTCATTTCAGTTATTTCACAATGGAAACTCGAAAATTCTCGGGCTCTGCGAATTCGTACCATTCAAATGAATACAATTAGACATCATTAAAATAAATAAATAAAATATTTGCTGACTTCTTCTCATTGAGGTACTGCACGCAGCTATTGTTGGCTCCTCGCCCACAGAGGCGCAGAAAACACAGCAGGCACAGCGAAGTTGAGGCAAACTTTTCCACAACTTGTTAAAAATAAACAACAACAGTACTGAATGAGCAAGAGCTGAAGATACCCTGTAGGTAAGAGAAGTAAGCGATCGTTGAAGAATGAGAATAAATATCTGAGGGAAATTAAATGGAATATTAAAAATTAACCAGTTAAATATTTAATAAATCTCAAAATGAACAGAGTAAAACATGGCACAATTTTATATATATATATATTGATATGTACAATGTATATATAATATATATCTCTTATAATATAGTGGGCTAGTCTATTACTGCTTCGCATATATATTTCAAAAAAAAGTTCCTTTTGGAATTTGTTTAGGACACAAAAAACTTTGCAATTTGAAAACTTAGCTGAAGCATCGATTGACTTTTTCAGGAGTAACACAAATTTGATCATAATGAAATGAAAATATTTGTTTATTATGGCAGTTAAAGGAACGTCTTCAAAGTGCTAAGAATTTTACTGGAAATCTTGCTGAGTGATGTCAATAGCTAATTGAAGCAAAAGCAGAAATCTTAAACTTGATAAATATATTAATAAAAGGGTTAAGTGTGCAATTCAGATTAGGCATCCATGAAACGCTTTTAATATCATTTCAGTTTAAGCAAATTTCATCAAATTCATAGAGGCCTAATGTATGACTGATTTTTTTTTAGAGTTGGATAGACTTAAATCGTAGCAAAATATTCAAATATATTCTTAATATTAAAAAAAATATATATTTTTAAATAGAATATAATATGACATTTATGTTTATATATAGCTTTTTTTTAATATAGCTTTGGCCAAGTAGCCGCGTTGACTTGGCGCAGCAAGAACAATTTTCACAAGCATCTCAATAATTATCAAGGCATATGGCGCACCAAAAAATAATGTTATGTGGAGGCAATGGTTTTTCGACTCTGGTAGATTATACTCACTTTAAAAGCAACAATTCTGCTGAGCTTTAATATTAGCTAATGGACGAAGTGCATAGCGTGCTTGACTAACGGATTACTGATAACAAATGATAACAACTGAAAAGCGGTGCTCTAATGCAAGTCTATTGTAAACTAAATGTCAAGCTACACTCAACAAATGCCATCTATCAGCTGTTGAATAAGTTATCAATCAAAACTGTTTTATAAGCACAAAGTTATAATACTCTAAAAAAAATATCATTAATATATGTACACAGATTTATTTAACTATAAATAAGAGAAAATAGCTTTGATAGATGTAGGTATAAGACATATCTATTATTATAAGCAAGCATATGAATCATACTTATAGTAGGTCAGCTGTATATACCCGCTTTTAGTAAGCAACAGGGTATACAGTCGCACAAGTATTTTGATAGTTTTGTAAGAAAGTCTTTTCTTATTGGTTAGATATACTAACAACGGCT